AGCCTGCCGCGATCAGCCCTCGGAAATTCGTAATGCCGGCTCGCTTCATTGCTGTCGCCTGCTTGCTGGTCCAGATACCCGACGTCCGGGTTTTATGATGCAAGGAGAGATGCTCGTTCACCACTGGCTGTTCTGCTATGGTTGGCATTCGTGATTTGTTCTTTTTCTCTGATTCTAGTAGCAGGTTCCGGGGTCGGATGACATGACCACTGCCATCAAGCTGCCTTGGCGCGAGGCCGCTCGGACATTTGGGGGGGGGTCCGGTGCAGCGGAGACCGCGCCTTCAGGTGAAGTCCCCGGACCGGCACCAGCAGCTCAGGCTTGGGCCAGTGCCAGCGCCAGGGTCCCCGCCACGCGGCCACCCCGTTCGTGCCCAGGCAGATCATGACGCTGGCGACACCAAGAGAGGGCATGGCAGCTCGTGTGATGGACGTGCCGAGCAGCAGGCGTTGAGGTGCTTCGCCGACGCCAAAAAAACGCGGCCATCCGTGTCGCATGTTAATGAAGCGCATGTGGACCAAACGACTAGCTACGGCTGGTTACAAGGTCAGACTGCGTGATGTGTGGTCTGGTAAACCTGAGGTACACATGCGCCGCGCAGGATCACTTGGCAGACTGCTTGAATGGCAACTGCTCGACTCGGAATAAACCAAGGTGGCCGAAATGGCGACTTGAGCCAAAGTGTTGGGCATCCGAGATCCCAATGCACCCTACCTAGAATTGCTGCATCCGGGGGTGTGTTTGCACCTCCAAATGCAGGGGCAGCGGTGACCGTTTCACCCCAGTCGTGTCGCAGCCAGGCGGTAGACATGAATAAGCCGAACTGCCCGCTGTGACTCGGAGCAGCACTACCTTCGTAAAGGCAGGAGGCGTGAAAGTAGGAGGAGGACGTAGCAGAAGAAGAAGCAAGAGAAGTAGCGGGAAGAGGTAGGAGTCGGAGTCGGAGTAGGAGTAGCAATAGGAATCGGAGTAGGAGTAGCAGTAGCGATAGCAGTAGCAGTTAGCAGGAGGAGCAGTAGCTGCAACAGTAGCAACAGGAGCAATAACAGCAGCAGCGGCAGCAGCCGCCTTAGAGCCGAAGTTGCAGAACGAAGCGACGGTAGGATTTGCAATAGTCCTTGTCCATGGGGCGGTAGCAGTGGTCGTGGTGGTCCGCGTGGCAGTAGAACCGTAATTAAGCCCGAAGATGATCTTGACGTCGTCGTATTTGTGGGACGTCGTAGGACCTGCAAAAAAGACTTACTTCTGCTGTTCCAGCGAGGAGCATCAGCGAGGGATGCGTGGCGGTGTCCAAGGCACAGGCCGCGGACTCCCACATCATGTATCGATCATCATCTCCGTTACAGGGCCAGGGGTCGGGGTGATAGTATTCTCGTGCAGTTTTCCGTATGTTTGCTGTAAAAGCTGTGTGGGCACTGGTCCCGTTTTGAGGGCGGAACCCTCATAAATCGTCCACGCATCAACCACAGCAATGAACAAGCAGTGCATAGAAACCATAACAACCGCAATGACTAAAGCAACCCAACCACAACAACCACACCAACCGCAACAGCCACAACAAGCACAACAACCGCAACGATGAAGGAACTACAATCACAACGACCGACAAGTGGCCATTTTCCATGCCAATGTCCTCGATTGAGATCTTGCCGGCGCCGAGGGAAGGACCAACAAGCAACCGGGCCGAAGTCTGTCACACACGAGCCAGCCCATGAGCCTCACAACAACTTGTGTGCCTCCCCAACCTTTCTTTAAAGCACTTCCAGACCCTATAAGCCATTTTGGGTGATCATTCACAGCCACTCGAATCGCGCAGAAGGTGTGTGCAAGCGATTCTGTTGTCATAACGAAAACGAAAGCCGTTGTACTACGACGTATGCAGGGAGATAACTGATCATCCGCCGTTCTCGTCGCAACTCCCTGCCGTGGTTGGTGTCCTGCAGGCTTTGATGGATGCAGTTGTCTGTGGACACCAGAGCTACAACGGCATCCGGGACGAGTGGCTTACTCGCAATACAATCAGGCTGCCCTGGAGCTGCTCCGAGCTGAAGTTCTCATGCATCCCAGAAGAGTACTCTACGTAAGCGGGTCGAAATCTTGCTCCTCACCCCGCTCCCATCTCTCAGAGCTTTCCAGCTTTGAGGCTGAACATGTTCTACGAGGAAGCCGGCTGCTCAGAACTTCGCCTGGCAAGATTTAGCTCTCGCAGTCGATGGGGGTCCGGTCCTCCACGACGTTTTTAATCTGCAGGTTTACTCTGTCCGGATTCTCAAAGGGATGTAAAGCAATCTGCTTCAAGTTGAGAAACTGCAGTAGCAGTGCAAGTGGCATGCCTGTGATGCTTTAGTCAACTGTAGTCACGAAACGGGCAAAGGTTGAAAGACGCCAGGGAAAGACTAGCATCATGCATAGTAATCTAAACACTGCGAATGTTGGTCGCAGGTTCCCGGATGCGAGCCCTTGTCCGCCATGATCATGCACTTCAAGCAGAAGTGAGTTGGGCTCCTGATGCTCCTTCGTATACTCTCCGGTCTGGTTACTCTCTGGAAAGATGTCCTGCAGCATCTGTTTATTCTTGACGGGTGGTCAACCTGTGCAGAGGCAGTGCTTTTCAAGTGCTCTTGATTTTCCCACTTTGCTCGCATGGAGCGGCATGCAGAAAACCACCATGCCTTTTATCTTGCTTTATCTTGCTTAGTGGCAGACCGACAGCTCGCCTTTAATGTGTACTCGGAGCCAAATCGACTTGATTGACAACCGCATGCCGAGAAGCTGCTCTGGGATCAACTGCCTCGAAGATGTAAATGTGCTAGGAGCAGAGAACAGCATCGCATCTGCACTGCGTCTGACATAGCTGTAGTGACGTCTCTGCCTTCTTTGAGACTCCGATATTGCTATGGCAGCGTCCGCTGACGAGGAGAGCTGCAAGAGCCTTTGAATCTTACCAGGTGTGTCCCCTTGGTTTCATGAAGGACCTGATTGCGCAGATTTCTAAGCTGAAGCAGGCGCCAGGAGGTTATGGACGTTGAGAGGAAGCATGTTCAGAGGTCAGATTGGGTTTATGGCTACGGACTGTGGAGATCATCTCTACCCGTACATGCCTTGCTGCTTGTACCATTTGGTTGTGCTTGCGACTTGCACAGAGACAGCAATTCCCTCTGCCCAAAGGGCGTGTGAGTGCGCGATCTTGCGACCAATGGATTGTCGCGATTGTGGCGATTGTGCAAGTATGCAACATGTACTATAGTATTCGTTCGTGACACGAGTTGCGGAGCTTCAGACTTGCTGGCAGGATCTGAAGTCGAAGAAGTCCTTCGTGAACGTGCGCCTGCTTTCAACCTCAAAGAGAAGCGCATTTCCGTTCGTGCCGCCGCGACCTCTGCCAGGCCTGCGCGCAGCTGACGGAGATCTCAGAGCAGTGGAGCCAGGCCTGGCTCAGACCGGAGGGCCCCGACAGACGGAGCCGACAGCGGAGCCGTGATGGAGCCTTCGCAGTTCGGAGTTGCAGGACGCCTCTGAGCCCAGTGTGCAGGCTTTGCGGGAGGCCCCTGTGCTCTCGGCGTTGTTTCTTTTCGGGTTCAGATTCAAGCGCTTAGGAAGATGCAGAGAGCTCAGGCGGCCAAAGCTGCTTTTACGGCGCTGCAGACTCGCTTTTCAAATCCAAAGTCTTGGACTCAGATCGGCAGCAAAGAACCGGGCCAACTGCAAGTCGTCGTCTTTTGAGACTGTTTGCAAAGAAAAGCAAAGTACGGCGCAGCTGCGAATCTACGCTCCTGCCTGCTGCAATGTAATGGTGTTGTTTAGATGTTGAGTCCACGAGGTTCTGGCAAGCTGGGCTCGACCTCTTCCTTGCCATCGATTTCCACGTGCCCATTGAAGATGCTGGCAAGTGGCGGGATGCTGCCGTGGAGGTCACTGCGGCTGAGATGCGCTCGAGTCTTGGTTCTGTGGTTTCGCCTCCATGATAAGGAAGTTGACGACGAAGCGCGAGAGCGGGCAAAAGAACAGGCCAGGGATGCCCTCCACGGATGCCCTGAGCGCCCTCGGATGCGGCCCATGGGGTTCTATTGCCAGGCCCGTCTCCGCCGCCTCCAGGAAGACAAGATGCACAACAAGGGCCAATTCGGTCGGCAACTCCGTTGTGGCTTTTGGTGTTCTTCCGAGTTCAACGGCTCGCGGTCGCGGTCGCGGAGTCTTTGAGGCGATGCCGTGACGCCTCTCTCCCTTGGAGAGCTCCTCGCCTCGCAGGGCATAGTCCTGGTCGAGGAGGCCTTCGTTCAGAGCTGGGAAACGCAAGAGACCGAGATCGCTGAAAGGATGACCGCCGTCCGGGCATGTCGCGGGATGCCCGGGCAGAGCTCCGCGTGAAGACAGTCTTGGAAGAGGCCAGAGAACAGGGACGCCCTTTCGGGCTGTGTTCTGGGCGCTTTCAGCTTCAAGTCCTTGTCGTTGTCGTCGTGGCATGTGGGTCGAGAGAGTGTGCGCCTCATGAATGTCCATCTCGCCCACATGCTCCAGCTGCATGAGCGGCAGATTGTATACCTCGGTGACTCACTGCCCTTGACGGGCCAGAAAAGGCATGTTTTTTTCTCGAAGTTCTTAACAAATGCCACGTTACGCTGGACAAGCTCATTCTACTACGATTCCTCAGCATCACGCGTGAAAACATCCCGGCTCTATGCCACTTCTGGTGCCAGACCGACAAGATTTCAAATTGAATTTTTGTGCCAAACTCAAGATGCGCATAGCCTGCTTGTTCAGAAATCCCACGCTTTTGACCGTGCTTGTGTCATGTGTACTGCAATTTTTGCTTTGGAGGCAGCTGTGCTGTAAGGCCGTTGATAGGTTTGACGAGTGTATTCCCTCAATATGAGCCCTGTTACCTTGATGCAGCAAGATATCCTCTGGCTGGGTTGCAAGTTTGACATTGTTCAGGGTGGAGGGTTGTGTCATGACAGGCGCAAATACGCACATTTCTCTGAACGAACCAGACTCTAGCCAGACAAACTAGAGTGTGGGCATTTCGTTCGTGGTCTCATCAGAGCCCCGATTGTTTGCGGCAAAAGCATGACCGACGCAAAAGCATGACCGACGGGATGGCACAGATTGTCTGAATTGCTGTCCGTTCTGCTTGCATGAAGATGCTGTTTTTCCGCATCTGCTGTGGCAAGCAATCTCGCCTGGCTAACTACAATCTACTTGTTTGCTTTGGAGTTGTTGGACGCCGCAACCGCGGCGAATGCCACGCCGATTATATACTGGTTGCGGTTGCAGACGGAGGTACATGCACTGATCCGCAGGGCTTATTGTCAGATCATTCGCATTCGCCTCAATCAGTTCGTTGACTGTGTGTGTGTGCGCAGTGTGAAACACCAGAATTTCTTGAGGAAACTGATCTGGATAAGTAGCTGGCTGGCTTGTTCCACGACTCTGCGAAAAGCGACGTCCTCCCACTTGGATTTGCCAGATCGTGGAGCTGCGTGCCAAGCCACCCGATGCGCTGCCCGATCTTGTGCGAAGAAAGCCGCGCATGTCGAACCAAGCAGACAAGCCTTCTTTTCAGGAGCCGAGCGGGGTTTGGCCTGGTTCTCGAGCGATTTCTGTTGTAGAGGGCGGAGGATCGCGGAGGTGCGTAGGGCCGGGGGGTGGCATGTCTCCCCTCCTTCTTGGCATTTGTCGGGTGCCTGGGCAACGGGGTGGTAATCCCTCCCACCCTGTGTTGCGCATTGCGGAGAAGTGGGGCAAAGGGCCCTGAAGCTTCCGCATAAATGGCGAACGCAGGTTTCTCCGTATCACGAACCGTTGAAACGAACCCACCAGTAAGCTTTCTTCATGCAGTGTCGTGTTGCAGCTTGTGTGCTCTGGCAGACGCCGTTGCTTGGATGTTTCTGTGCTATCGTCATGCTTGATCTAAGCTCTGGCAGGACGTCTGCGTGGTGTGCCAGGAGGCGATGCCTGCAGGCAGTGGGCCCGAAACAGGTTGGGCCGGACCAGCGGGGCGCATGTTTACTCTCCTGCCAGGCTCGAAGGCCAAAGCCATGCCCTGCGGGCACCTCTTCCACGACGAGTGCCTCCTGTCCTGGGCCGCTTCCTTAAGGCAAACCGCGATAAGGTTCAGCTGCCCGCGGAAGTATGGCCGACGTGAGAAAACGGTTGTGGACAGAGTTTCGCCGTCTGCACATGTCGGTATAAGTATGTTATCTGCTCGTGGTAGACCGTGGACCAAGACTTTACCCCAAGATCCGATCCGAGAAAACTCTCGTGCATTGAGCACAGGAGCGCAGCATGAATCAAGAGCAAGCTCAACGAATCCCAAAGACCAATGTCTCGGATCTGCGAGAAGCCGCTAATCCGGTCGACTGCCGTGCGAGCCGTTTCCGGATCAGGTGCCTGCTACGGTCAGTGCTCTGCCCTCCAAGGTGAAGAAAAGCAATTCGTGCCCAACGTGTCGTTTCGATGACATGCCAAGCGAAAAGCGCCACTACGATGATGCCTGGCTCTTGGACTGGCCTTGAGGCGTGCAGGGTTGCTTGAGCTGCTTGATCAGTTGTCCAGGTCCAGCGGCAAGTGATGCAAAGACAGCCGGGGCTCTACTCGTAGCGTGTGCCAAGGGAAAAGAGAGGTGCAGAGACAGAGACTGTTGCGAGCTGTTGCTCTGGGTGTCCACGGGCCTACCTGTCCAGGGAAGCTGATCATGGCCATCGCAGCTTTTGCTTCTTCATTTTAAAACGCTGTGGGACCCATCTTTTTCCCCGTTTCGGTAATGAGACGGTTGTGGCTCTTGGGAGTCATCATTGCAGGCTGGGGCTTGGTGAGGGCTTTTGGCCACCTTGGCGGCTTTTGGCCACCCTGTGCAGGCGTGACAGCAGCTCCATGGCGCCAGATGCTGCCAACACGACGGATGGACAGCCATGATGGTACTGGTCATGATGGCAGCTGGAATAATGAGAGCCACATGAATTTCACCAATGCCATGATTTCAGTCGCTGGGCAGCGCTGGCTCTTTCAGGGTCTTCAACAGTTCTACTGGTCGTCACTCACCCTGCGTGCCCAGGCAAGGTGCCTCATGACGTGCCCTGGACTGCGGGACTTGGGCCATCAAGTGGACGGGCTCCATGCTTCTTGGACTGGTTTTCAACAGGTCGAAGTGTTGGGGGGAAGGGCAGAGGTTCTCTCGTCCCAAAGCTCTAAGTCTAAGCAGGTCCCCAACTGCACGAATTTGCACTTTTCAGCACAGGACCAGCTTGTCGAGGCAGACTACTCCACGCCGGTGGCGCACCTTGGGATTGCAAAAGACAGCATCGTACTGAGATCGGTCGGAAGCACCCTGTGCTGTTGCACTTCTCGTGCCTTCGTCTTACTCTCGGGACTGCGCATGTGCATAACGTCTTCGATGTAGGAAGGTGATCCAGACGATGATTGCTGCAGAAGCCAAGGCTGGCAGACAACGTTGCCCATTATGCCTCTCCGTAGCAACGAAGACCTGCAACCCCAACCCCAAGCAGGTTGGTGACAGACCTTCTTTGGACAAGTTCAGCATGAGTTTTCGATCTTATTTGGACACTGGCATGCATCCATTGTTTTCATCTCCTGGCCAAGTTCGCGGAGCTTTCCAAGATGTTCTGCGACAGAAGGCACAACAGCGGATCAATGGGCGATGCCGGCTCTAAGTGGCGGTGTCAATTCCGAGACTCCTTATGCTAGGTTCTGTCCATTTGGCATTAATAGGTTTGGATGGACTGAGAAGCTGAGAAGCACTAAGTCATTTGTTCGGCGGCCACCTGCAGTTTTCGGCCCAGCTGCGCACGCCTCGCGCTTGCCAGCAATGGCGAAGGCATGCTTAAAGCATGCTGCTCTCATTGCGCTGGGCAGGCTTGCCCTCGCGGAGGATATCTTGGGGCTGAGGGTAGTGGGAACTTTGTTGCTAATGTATCGTGACCGAGGCAGAGTTAGGAATTTTAGAAAGTAGGAAGGAGTGACTTTCGCCTGATTCCTTTCGCAACCTGAGGAGACATTGGAAAGCCTGGGCATTGGTCCTCGGAGCAGGTTGGCTTCCCTGTTCGACTCATCGGACGCGAACGCCGATGGTCAACTGTCTGGGGAAGAGCTCCATCACTTCGAGGAGAGCCACTGCTGCAGAGGCACCTGCAGGTCACGGACCGACCGGTCTTTTCCTTCAATCCCACTGGGTAGCTGGTAGCTGCAAGACGATCCAAGGAATGGAAACGACCTTCTTCGTGGAAACGCGCTGCTCCAGCACTTTGAGGTGACGCTCTTTGCAGGGGCCGATTGCTCCGGCCACTGACCTAGGCCCTAGGCAGATGCGCTCGACATGTAGGACGAGAACCTCCGAGCTCCATAGCTGTGAAGCTTAAGACCAGGTCAGAGCCTCGTGGTGCAGAACAGCAGCAGCGAGCAAAGATGTTCGGAGTGTTTTGACGTCTGCAACAAGGAGCACCCCGAGATCGGGGACTTAGTTGGGTAGGGCCGAGTTTCCGAGCAAAGCAGGCTCTTGGACGTTGACCTGGTGCCAGGAATTCTCTGGTGGCTCCGCGATGGCTACAGTCAACGGGCCCCCTTGGCCAAAAGCGAAGTGAGAAAAGGGAGAGGCAAGCTTGCCGAATCTGCTCGCCGCTCTGAGGAACGAAGTCTGGAGTGTTGCATCCAACGTGCGGTCTCTGCGAGTTGACTCCGGTGCTGCGAAGGCTTAGCTGGGCCGTGACATTTTGTGAAGGTTTGTGAAGTCTTGGGAGGCATGGCAGGTAAAGGGAATCTATGGGCATGGACATGTACGTTGCTTCCATTTTTTTGCCTGAGTGTTGTCGCTGTGTAGGGTAGGGTTCCAACATGTTTCACGAAGATCCGGCGCACTGTGGCACGTGCATGAGAGCCTGAGCGACCATCCATCTTGTCTTGCTGACTCCTGGTGCGAAGTCTGCCATGCGATGTGAGATGCAAGAATCAATGGCAATGCGGCAAGGTGGTCCTCAACCTTTGCCTTGGCCGCATGGCACGAGACAGGCCATCAAATCTCGTACTCGTCCTTGGCTCATTGAGCCGAGCATCTTCCGTCCATCCAAGGCACGTACAACTATGGCGTTGCGGGCAACGAGCTCACAGGCGTCCACACCGTTCGGGATGGTTGCCTCAACTTCGGCACCGGTCAGGACCGGGCATCCGAGACACCGGCAGAGCATGGCAAAGTCATGTTGCGAACCTGAGTCCTAAGTTTTCGACCACGGCTTGCAAGCCTTTGCAGGCACCTGCACACGTCTCTGCAGTCCCGCTGGACCTGCTCGAGCTTTCCACAGGTGTTTTCCTCAAAGCTGAGCCTCTGCTGAAGGTCGAGCTCGTTCATCGGAGCCATCCGGCGGCAAAATTTGCTCAGTCGCAGAGATCTTGCTCCGAGGATGCGGATCCCTTTGACGATCGCCTGGACTCAGCGGAGGCCATGTTGCACTCCAAATCCTGTGCGATTCGTTAGGGCCTAGGGTGCCTTGACGAGGCCGCACATTTGGATTTAGACCCGTTGATCGAATCTGCAGATCGCAATGGCGTCACTTGTATGCAGTGGATATCAGCAATGCAACGCCCCTGGATGACCATTTCTTCCAATCCGGTTCTTGTGATGAAACGGCCTGCAATGGCAACGAAAGATAGCTCGAAGTCAGGATGGTGTCATGAGCATTGAGGAGTATACGACCCTGTGACCCGGCTTGTGAGTGGCAGTTTCTCAATGCAGAGTTCCAGCCATTGCAGTTGCAATGATGCGACATGATCCGGACGCTAGTCATTGCTAGTCCATGTGCATAGGCCTAGGCGCGTACGTACTCAGCAGTAGCATTCAGTTAGACAAAAGGAGCTAAACCAGCTGCTGTCATTTGCTGGGGTGCACTCTGCAACCATGAGGCTAGTTCACGACGTTGCGCGGCAAGTGGCCATGCGCAACTTCATGTCAGCACAGTCCATGCGGGACCGAGCTGCCCGGGGCACACGAGTTGATCCCGAAACAAGCTCGCACGGTCTGCTGAGCCTCGCAGGTGTTGTGAACAGGTATGTCAGAAGAAAGATGAGTTGTTGCCGCGAGTCAAGCGTTTGCGAGAAACCTTGTCGCTCCATCCTGGTGATTGCCTAGCTGATCTGTGAAGCTCTACGCATGCATTCTAGACTTCTAGACCATTTGTTCGAATCATACCGGGCACCCCCACACCAGCTCTGAAGAGCCCCAGGAGGCTGCGCTGGCCGCGGTGACGGCGCAAGCGCAAGGGAGCACCGATCACGTCACCGAGGCCTTCAGTGCGGGGTGCGAGCGTTTTCGGGTTTGTGTGCCCGCAGATCATGGACATCATGGACCTCCCCCCAACAAAAGGGCAAACTGGTTGCAATCTACGCTGAAGAACACCTCATCCGTTTTGCTCAAGATCTCCAAAACCTGAGCCTTGAGCGCAAGATCCAAGACATGGAGATCTAGCGCATTGCATCATAGAGGTATTCTGGAGGTAGTCTTTGAGTCCTGGAGTCTTGAGGCTCCAGGCCAGAAATTCAGGAGACCCTTAAGCTCCGCTTCGAGAGTTCTACCAGCTCTGAACGTTAAACCCGGGACGCCTCCCCTCGGCTGCAGGCCCAGCGAGACGTTGAAGCTCAGAGAATGTTTGGAGCCGACTACCAGCAGGTAGGCAGACTTTGCCTGGTGGGGCCCAGGGCCAGGGAAGAGGGCACTTCTTGTTAGTGTCATTCTGTGGTTTTCGACATAGGAGCCTCTGCAGGTTCACAGCTTTCTGGCTTGTTTGAGCCTGTCGGCATGATGAATGGTGCTTTTGCGTAAGTCCAGCGTTGGCAGGCCGTTGATCACCCTGCAGAAGGAGTACCTGAGCCGGTAGAAAGGGGCCCAAATGGAGACTCTGGCCAACTTGATTTGAGTCACAATCGCTGCTTAGGGCTTGTAGGTCAACTCGCCTGCACACCCAACTGCAGTGTCAAGACAACTGAGTCGCGAGAAGACATGCATCATTGAATCATTGCCACTTGCATTTCATCCCTTCGAGATGACATGTTTGTTCCAGATTCCAGAGCAAGTCGAGCACACAAGGAGAGGTGATCGTCTCGGGCGGGCCTGACGGAGGCGACTACGGCGATGTCAGGTGGGAGGGACATGCTGTGGCATGCCCTGCAGCCTGCAGCTGACAGCTTGCCGTGCTATTCTGGGCCAGGGATGCTTCGCCGGTTTCAGGGACTTATGACCCACAACAAGCGGGTGACGTGATGATGTGTGTGGACGGGACACTTGGCACCCACCTAGATTCGGATCTGTCAATTCGTCCTGAGCATTCCTGAACGATTCCTCATCCATCTGGTTCTTTGAGGAAGGATTTCCAGGCCGGATTCTGTTACAACTACTGCAAGATGGACTATCCAGCTGCCACGCTGAACATGTGCTGGAAAAAGGCGGGCCTGCTTCCGTGACTTGCCACCGGCTCTTGCCGAAATCCCTCGATGGAGTTTGGCAGGACTGCCCAAGTGGCTGGAAGGAGATCGCAGGAGGGATGTGCAAGAAAGAGGGCTTCAGCCTTGCCACCAAGGCCCGTCGGAAGCTGTGATCCAAGTGGCAGGTTGTTGCAGCTGCTATTGCACTCCGAACTTTCTGATGGATGCTTTGGCTTTGTTGCAGGCAAAAGAACACTACAACCGAGGGATGGGCGCGCGGCCCTCCACATGTCGTGCCCTCGTTCGCTTTTTTTGTCGCTTCGCTCGGATGATGTGCCCTGCCATGCTTTTTTGTCTGTGACACATGAGGTCGGCTGGGAGGCTCGTTCGGACCTGGAGCCAACCCCGACAACGGCAACCGGGATTTCACCGTCATTATGGTCTCGGACCGGGCAGCACCTGTTGTAAGTACTATGAGGAACGTGCTGGCCGTGTCGTGACGTCAGCACATCCCGCCGAACTAGAGAAGTCCACAACCCTTTGGTGTAGGACACGCAGCTACCCTGGTGCTCCGGAGACTTCAAAAGCGATGTCGACTGTGCCGTGCAAGAGAATTGGCGCCTGGTGCAAGGCAGGTCTTTGCAAATCGCGAGTGGCATTAAGAAGGGGGTACCTTCGTCGATGAATAAAGCTTCTGGGCTGCCGTAGCCCTGGACCCCGGGTGGGTGGTTACGGTGCTGCAGCTCCTGCAGGAGGAGTTGCAGCCCACAAGATCCCAAACCTCGCGCGCCCGACTTCTGTGTCAGTCCTCAGAAATCTGCTCATGGAACTCCTGCCGTGGGTGCATGGCGGCACCCCGCAGGAATACACGATGTCGGCAAGCTGACGTGGGTGACCGACGGCAACGGCACCTCGCAGGAGGTCGCCGAACCACTAGGCCAGGCGTAGGCTCCGAGCCTTTTAAAGGCCGAAGCTTCAAGAAACATGCCCGCCGCCCCTCTGAACAACTTCCCAAGGTGTCTTCATCACCGGAGACCTCACAGCCTATGCACACAATTGGCAGTTCCGCCTGTACCGCCAGATCTGGGAGACTCGCGATGAGGAGGACGATGCCAGGGAGGGATTGCCGTGCGGATGGTTGGCTCCACGTGGGATGTACCGCTTGCGTAGGACCGGGACAAGAACATCAAGCTTCCCGTGTGGCCAGGTCTCGGAAACCACGTGCCTTGTGCCAAAAAACCAGTGCTAGGTCTGATAGGGGAGCAGTGGGAGGGCATGGTTTTCCATGAGTTTCGGAGCGAGATGGTTTCCGGACCGCCGTGGCCTCAAGCATCGTGTCACTGAGGACTATGCCAACAACCTGGAGGGTTGCTGGTGGGTTGAAGAGGAGCTTACCTGGACTGGCTATGGGAAGAACTCCTGTGCGCAGCGCATGCCACTCGGCAAGAGCGTACATCGCTCAGGGTTTCCTAGGCCAATGGTCACACGCTGACACCGAAGCCCCCTCAGCTAGTGACGCGAATGCGTGTGTTGCTTGCAGTCGATGCTAGATACTTCTTGCTTGTCAAGGGTCGCCTACGTGCGGGCAGCAGTCGCAAAGTGCGGAGGGCAGACGGTCGTGAACAACTTCGGTGGCCATGTGGATCACTACGACAAGGCAAGGGCAAAACATGTTGCAAAGGATAACAGCCGAGAAGAGCACTGCAAGCAGTGGTCTTCACACGATTCCCGAACCGAGGCTCATAATGTCACAGAAATGCCATGAACACCCTCACTGAAGTTTCAGATTGTTGCCCCCTCATCCCTGACCTTGGCTTAACCCTAAGCCCTGAGCGGTAGAGGACTCTGCTGGTTACACAGTCCGCTACGGCCGTATCCGTTTCGTGCACCTGCACAACTATCCGACCTACCGGCGCAGAGAGCTAACTGGCGTGGCCTCCACCATGGACTTCCTCAATAGCGAGGCCGAGCGATGCAGTGAAAGTAGAGGTACTGTGGTACTGTGGTGATGATCATGATCACATTAGCAAAAGCCGAAGTGATTTCTGTTGCAAGCGTTCTTGATTTAATGGCAAATCAGGGGGCAGTCTGCATCTTTACGGTCTGGTAGTTAGCGGATGCAAGATGGAGCTGCACTGTCTTATTTATCCGCACACGCCTGCCCAAAAACAAGCATCCGCTTGGAACCGTTGCAGGGGCGGGCCGTGCCCACCATGGATTCTGATCTCTTATGATTGAGAGAGGCCAAGGCATCCGAGAGCTGTAGGACACCTGCAGGTCGCCGAGGCGGAAAGGACCAAAGACTATCTGGTACTTCTGATCCACGACGTGAACGGCCACTTTGCACCATGGGATACGGACGACCAGGCTGAGGGGCAGGAAGAACGACGCAGGGTTGAGCAGGGACTTTAGAGGCCAAGACTAGGAAGCCTCTGTTGTTTCTTGTGTCCAAAGTTTCTCCCGTAGTCTATGCCCATGTCCAGATGTTTGTGCCGTGCAGAGCGGTGCGCCACTCTGCCTGTGTGCAGTTGTGCAGTGTGCGAGCGCTGTCTGGGTGTGTGACACGGGCCAGCACTCCAGTGCCTTGCAATCGCAAGGGTGTTCGCACCCATAGGCAGTCAAGGAATCAATCAATCATGTTGTTTCTTGTGGCGGAGTCCTCCTTATAGACGGCCAGGTGGACCGATACAGCTACTTCTCGGAGGTCGTTGCAGGCTCCCGGACCATCGCAGTGTTTTCTGGCCACTTCCACCCCATTGGAGGCATGCGAGGAGGCACCTGGGCCCACTTGCGGGACTCTCGCACACAGGAAGATCTGGTGAATGCCTTCGGAGAGTCTGTGCCGTCTCTCCGAAACTATGCGCCCGACTACTCCGCTTTCCTGGTCACGCAGTGGAACGTGGCTCGATGCTTCTGGAGGTTCGGCTCTGTCCAAGTGCCTACGAAGGATCAGCCGAGGGGAGATCCCTCCTGGAAAAGTCCCGAAGACGAAAATCAGCAGAACACCTTCCAAATTCCGGACTGCACAGTTGATACTGACTACCAGCCCGTGAACTCCATGATGGTGTCAGCTTCGCCAATCGCCCGCTTGGCCCTTAGCCTCTCGGTGTTGATGCTTGCCTCGGTCTTCCGATTCCTCGCCTGAGATTTTTCACTGGCCCGATGGCCCGACGGTGGACGTAGAATCTAGAATAAAGATCGCGTCGGGGCACCGAAGGTGCCCTCGTCTCGTATCGGTTTTGTGGGGAGCCTGAAAATTTTGCTTGCATAGAGACAGAGACAGGGCGAAGCTCTGCACCTTGATCAGTTCTCCTCGTTTGCCACTCTTGCTAATGTGGGCAACATGAGCCCGATGAATTATTATTCCTGGCTGCTGACTGCTGACGGCTAAAGAGGCCGTCAGGCATTGGGCACTCAGGAGCTCAGGTGTACATACCCAATCACATCTCGCTTCGCGCGGATGTGGCTTACGCATACCCCAGAGAACGTGTGTAAAGTTTCGGTCGGGCAGTTCAGGCCGCCTGCTTCAATCGGAACTGTAAGTGCAGATACATTTTGTGTCGTTGGTTTTCCAATCCTCTCCTTTCATGCGGAGCTTGCTCTCGCATCAGAGTGCACAACAATTAAGACTACTTGGATTATTGACTTCCTTTTCTTGTTTTTTGGAGGAGCTTCGTCTTGGCATTTATTCTTTAGAGAGCCATCATCCCCAGTGCAGCAGTCCGACAACATAGGTTGAGGCATCCTCAATATGTTGTAGCGGCTGTAGCGGAATAGCTCCATCCTCGCTTGACTTGCGCAGGGACCTTGCAGAATGCATCATGCAGCATGCGGCAGCCTGGAAGCCGTTAGGGTTATGCAAGGCGTCAGGGAGTCATTCAGCTTCGCATACGGTCTTCGGGCCAGTTGCTGTTCACCAGACTTGGTGAAGGCAGCCTTGCAATTCTCGACTTCGGATTCTTCTCCTACTGCGTGCAACGTCTATGGTCTGTACTCTGTACGTCTGTACATCGAGAACTCCCAAAGACACCCCTAAGGATGTGTCACGCTGTTGAAGGGACTTTCGCCATGCTCCCCGGACTTTTTGCTCGACGTCCCAGGCAGAATGTGGTGGTATGCCACCACCACCACCGCAGCCTGAGAAACGTCGTCTGGGTTTCAAGATGGGCATGCGCGACTGGGCTTGCAGTTGCAGTTCTTCGGGCTGACGTTGTGGTTTCTTGACTGCGGTTCTTGTGCTTGCTCTAATTGCGGCAACGGCATGGTCTGCAGGTTGTGCTCGAACAGTCGACGCACTAAGAGAGTGGAGGTGTGACTCTGATATGATATGTGTGGGCAGTAAAGGGATCGTTTAGGTGAGACAGTCGGCGTTGTCTAGTAGGAGTTTCGCGGAATCACGACTGCTCCTTGATTGGCCAATATCTTCCAACGTGAAGATCCGATCGATCTATGATGTTGGTCGCGCTTTGCGGGTTGTTCGGCACTGTGTGACTTTTGGGTCTGATCGCGACTCGTTCCACGCATGTCAGGATATCATCACCTGGCGCAAGCAAAGGCGCTGTCGCTGCCACATCAGGCGCCGGACTGTGGTGAGCGGAATGATGACCGGGCTGAAAAGGCACTGCTGGAGGGACTGAAGGTGAGGCTATGTGTATAGCACCCGAAAAAAGACTGGACAGATTAGTTGAGGCATCTTCTTTAAGGCATGTCCGGGGTCTAGGGTCGAGTCCTGTCGCGTCCCTAACAGGACAACCCTGATGGGATTGGTTCCACCAGTAAGCAGGCAAGCAGGCCAGCATAACAGGTACGTACAACGCGCAAACCAACAAGCTTTGTGTGAGAAAGGGCTGCAGCAGGCGAGGCACCGGGCAGCCAGCCTGGCCAAGTACATCACGGAGAGGCATCGCACTGGCGCAGCTCGGCAGCACTCGGTGAGGGTTTACAGCAGGGCTCAGAGCTTGATCGTGACCTCGGCAAAATGCACAGACGAGAGCAACAGGCTTGCTGGTAAGGGAAAGGGTCACAGGCCGAGTGGCGTCGCAGACATTGGGGACTACCCGCATACAGCGGACAGGAAGGCTAGCTCGCTTCCATTCGGAGCATCCCACTGCTTTGAGTTGGCGAGTTTAAGGTGCCAGTTTCTGCCAAGCTCCCCTGCCATCTCAGGCACGGAAGCTCAAGGTGCGGAAGTTGCGAGTGTCTTGGCCGAGGCATTTGTTATTGGAACTTGCGCAGAGAACATGGAATCTGTGTGACATTTCAGGAGGATTCTTCGGACGGCACTTCGACCAGCGGCAACGAGGCGACAGGTTTTTGCAGTCGTTCACCTCGTACTCTCTCGGTGCGATCAACGTCTCAGAGATGTTGAGATCAGGACGGAACCAGTTCCAACACGGATGAGACGGACAAAGAGGTGCTCTGTGCTCTGTAGCCGTCCGCACGTTCACCTCGTACTTTCTCCGTGCAATCTGCATTGCTGTTTCAGAGACGTTCAGATCAGGACGGCACCAGTTCAAATACCAATGGGACGGACAAGGACGTGCTGCGTGTTCTGCAGTCTTCTGGAAATTTGCCTCGCACTCTCTCGGTGCGGTCCGTTTTCATGTTTCAGAGATGTTGAGATCAGGACAGCGCCAGCAACAGAACGGATGAGACTGACAAAGAGGTGCTGTGTGCTCTGCTACCAGTAGCCAATTGTTCTGTGCAAGTGGCGTAGCATGGCATCGCCAAGGAGACTGAGCAAGGATGCTTCTCATGTCAAAGTGTATGATTCTGTATGTATGATCGTTGTAGATGTTGTAGCGGTCATTTTGGTGGGCATGGCCCCACATGGCCCTGATGTTAACGTTCACGATGTCTGCTTGCGCATGCAACCGGCGGTGAGACCACCCATCAAAAAGCTGGACTGGCAATGCACCAGGATCCTGCCCATGTCTCCGGAGTGATGCACGACACCGTATCGACATGGTGATCGTCAGGTGTCAATTTGGTCGAGACTGACTTCTTAGTTTTTTGATCACCACATTCGTTGACCATCCCACCATGATTGTCTCGTCCATGTGGCCAACTGCACACTTGCAGCAGTTGCAACAGTTGTCCCCTTCATCAGCTTCTCCTCAGCTGCCCTGTGATTCGTCGTCGGCTGTCTTTTTGGAGCAGTGCGTCTTAAACCGGCGAGGCTCGGAAGGGCCGAGTCGCTTTTTTCTTTGAGTTCGGGGCCTTTACGGAGCGGTTCCAGGTTCCAAGAACGGTAGAACTCCTTGCGAAGCCCAAGCGATCCGCTTCTGGTTCTGGAGCTGCACGTAGCTGCCGTCTGTTGCGCAGGCGCCTGGGCATGAGGAGCACAGATGTCACGAGGAAAAGTGCTCCATGCAAGTGCATGAGCTCAATGACTTCTTGAATCACACTTCTCTGCGGAACCTCTCCGGCGATGACATGACTGCCATTTGCCTGGAACCGGCCTCAGTTGCCAGCAAGCGCACAAGCGCATGCAAATGGGGCGCATGGTTTGCGTTTACGGTCCCTGGATCAGCTAAGATGGGCCTCGGAGTCGAGACGTGTCACTCGACGCATTGGATGTAATGACCTAAGAAACATGAAGGGCCAGATTCTTGCACTCAGGCATGGTGAACACCAGCTGCTGCGGCCAGGCAGTTGCTAATCCAGCCGATTGGACGCACACTGGCATCGCATGGTATGGTACACGTCCGATGATCTAGTTACCTCAGATGTGTCAGCTTAGGTGGCGGAGCATGATATCAACTTGTGGTACATGTGCGAAGGGGGAGGCGCCTTGCATTGTGATTGTTTCTATGTGGCCTTGTTGTAGCTTGCGTACGGTTTTCTCGAGCTTCGACACTATGCGTAGTCAAGCAGAGTTGGCGAGCAACGCGCAATCTTGTTCCTGAGCTGGGAGGCTACAGATATGCCCAACTCTGCCACCAGGCTTGATGTTGTGCAGATCCGTGTCAGTGCATTGATAGCCAGATTGCAATGGCATCTCAGCCCGCCACATTGAAGCGTACTCCCTCTAGGGAAGAGTCGCTTTTTGCAGGGTCCCGACATGCCAGAGCCGGACATGTGCGACGAGGAGAAGCTGGAGGGATGCATGCCCTTTATTCAAGATGCCATTGAGCTCTTGAACGGTTGCTAAGTCGCAACTCATGAGACCGAAGTCGCAGCTGCAAAACACGGCTGTTCGCCGGGTTTCGCGGGTTTTCAGGCACCGGATTTCCATGCGTTTCAGATCCGAGGCACGAACCTGACCGGCTTGGACTCCGACCGCAGCCGGCACCTCTGTGCTGCCCGCGACTTACGGAGCATGTTGGAGCGGTTCAGACCCATGCGAGCCGCAGCAGCTTTAGTCCTGATGCAACTCAGTTGGCCCACAGCTCCGAAGCCTGCACCTTGTCTCCAAGACAGGGACCTGTCCGACTCTGTGTCAGATGCTTTTCCACGTTCCGAACGGCACAGAAGCTGTGATGCCAGGCTTGTACACTGCCGGCTGCTGCAGCTCCGCTGAGGATCTGTTTCCCGCGACATGACCCAATCCACTGCTTGCAGGGAATTTCATGTATGATCGTTGGGCGAGACGTCTCGTCTTTGACCGGCCCACGTTCATTTTGGCCAGCGGAACAGCGATCTATCGAAGCGAAAGGCGGGTTCAGGCTTTGTTCAGCTTGGATGGCTTGGTGTTTTATAGACCGGGCAATCAAGGAGAGCATGCACGACTTCGACATGGAGGTGGTGTGTGGGCCAGTGGATTATCCCCGCAGCTCAGTTTGCCGCGAGGCGAGCTTTGTACTGTTGGGCCTCCATGGAAAGGCATGCAGTTGCATGACGCCGGCTTTTGCATGCAGGATCCCCGCCATCCGGAGCCGCCGGATCACGAGGACGCCGTCGTGTAGATCTATCGTAGAAGGGCGAAATGGAAGTCTCCTTTGCATCCAAAGTATCCTGCACGAATGCCTCCAGCACCGTCGGCGCCTGCTTGGGCGACAGCTGCTCTCAAGCTACTGTTTGTATGGATGTTCGTTGGCTCTGGACTTGCGAGGCAAAATGCGATCGCGAAAAGCTGAAGGACTGCTACAGCTCGATGCACAAAAGAGTGATCGAACGATCCCGTGCTTGAATGCTCCGGCAAGCAACCAGCAAGGACTGCGACAGATACATCACAGAGCTGAGCCACATGGTCAACATGAGCAACAGTACCATGGCATCAAGATCCGAGACTGCCGTGTCCAAAGATGTCAAGTCATGGGTTCGTTGGGTTCGTTGTGTCTGAGGCAGCAACATGTCGGGGTTCACTACGGACGAGATGAAGGACATGTGCTACGCCAGGTACTGAGTGCCACCGTTCATTTTTTTGTTTGTTTGTTGTCTCGGTGACCAAGTTCGCTTATGCCATTGAGTCGTGCCACTTGGTAGCAACGAGCCGTGGTCGTGCGGTTCCTTGACCTGTTGGCTTGTTCTTCGCAAGTAAGGCTTCATGGTGACCGGCTGCTGCGAGAACGCTGGTGAGTTTGTTCCGGTGCCTCGACACTCCCGACAAAAGTTGCATCCCAAGACTACAAACTGCGCCAACGTCTCAGGTGCATCTGCGCGAGATGAATGTGTCTGGAATCTGCCATGGTGCCGGATACAAGCACGAATCTGGCATGCTGTGTCGCTCTGAGGCAAGGGGCTACGAAAAGTGTGTAAGTTGGTAGAAGCAGGTGGCTTGGCAGGGCCATGGGGGTGCTACGGTTGTTGATCCCACTGCACCCTAGTGCTGCAGCAGACGCTTGGAAGCATCCTTCGAACGCCCAAACCCCGGAATGCTTGGACGCCTGGGAGGAGGATCGCGATCACGGCAAGGACCCAACCCAGGTGAAGCAGCATGACAGCCGTGTGCGCAACAGTTAGGACTCGGACTGTTTCCCAGTTATCCGCTTTGGAAGATGAGCGTAGTGTTTCAACTGATTCAATCTCTCTTTCGACCGAGCGTTAAGCTACTAAGCATACCATGTGTATGGTCAAACAATCGAAGAACCAGCATGGGCTGCCTTGTCCTGAAGGACGGAAGCGAGGAAGACGAATCGAAGGACGAGTACGACAGTGATGGAAATTACAAGGAGGGACATAGGGACATTCCAGGCTTCATTCACCAAACTTGCTTGCTTCAAATTGTTCGCAGCCCGGGAGAGGAATCGAGCGACGACTACGACAAGGAAGGGAGTTACGAGGACATCGGGATTCACCAATGTTGCCTTCTTCAGACTGCTTCCGTCAGGATGGGTCGAACACAGGGCACGAGTACGGCAACGAAGGGAATGACGAGGAATTTTCGCATCACAAACCTCAGCTTGATTGCACTGCATGGATTGCAATCCTGCATCATCCTGCATCTGCTGTTGCTTGACGTTTGTGCAGGATAGCTACGATGATCAGCATGACCATTTGCATCACCCTCATGACGATGTCTCGTGGCTGTACATGGCTTGCAACTGACCGAGCACGACGAGTATTTAAAGAAGTCTTGCAAGTCAAAACCGCGGGTGTTGGAGATTCCGTGCAACGCAAGTTACGAGCAACGAGTGAGTTTCCGTTTCTGTTTCTTGAGAATCAGGAGCATCGTTGCAATGAAAGCATGCACATGTGCGTATCTTGGATGCAGAAGAGCATGACTTACAAGTTAGATCCCGCAGCCCATGCAGCAGGTTTTCAGTTCCCACGGGCAGCTTCGACTTTCTCTCTCTCTCTCTCTCTCTCTCTCTCTCTCTCTCTCTCTCTCTCTCTTTGATCTCATGATTCCCCGAACCCCCTTCGTCTAGCTTAGGGCCCTAAACACCTGAAGCATCCGAAGCTCCCAGGATTCCCTCTTCAAGGATCTGAGCGACGCGTTGGCCAACTCCCGCAGCTCCGACCTTGAGGATCAGAAGCTCTGCCTCGTGGCGGCCTCAGCGACGAAAAAGCGGGGCTTTGCATTGATTTCTCAGATGCAGGGTTTGGGAGATTTTGGGAGTGGTGCTGCGAAGAGGGAGTGCGGAGTATCACAAGCTTTGGGGCGAGGTGCACCTAGCCAAGGTACGTGCAGTCGCGTTAGTAGCAAGAGTCGCGACACTGATCGTTGTAGTGTTGATCATGGTGTGGACGTTGTTCATTATCAAGATGACACGGACGATGGTAGAAATCAAAACGGACACCCAAAGCTCTCAGAATAACACTACTGGTCGCACATACTGCGAGTAGCAATATTTGTAGCAGTCAGAGTGTGATAAGCGTAGCATCGCGGATAACAGCAGTGGCAGCAATAGCAACGGTAGCAGTGCTGGTATCGAACCACTCTTGACTGGGCTGGTCGTGGAGTCCACCCTATCCATGAGTCGAATTTTAGAGGCCAGCCGGCGGTGTCGGTTTTGCCGGCGGTTTTTGAAGCCGCATAGTCGGGAGGCTGCCTGGTTCCGGTTGTCGTGGGGCTATGGTGGACACACTGTTCCTGAATTCGGGCTGCAGCAGTTTTTTTTCCCAACTTGGAGTTGTGAAAATGACTTTTGTAACTTTTTCTGTCTTGTGTGAAGCATTTTTGCCTCTCCAAATAGTTTTCCTGCGGCCAAGGCTGAAACAAAAACGTTTGGTTAAGTTGCTTTCGCAACTAGTTCTTGTCTTGAACCCAGTCTGGAGAACATGAGTTTCAATGTTTACAAAAAGCAAGCCGGAAAGTATTCTAGTAGTCTTGTTCGGGCCCCGGCTGAAAGCAAATTTTTCTTTTGGTTTTTTTATCAAGCAAGGAAACGAGACAGAACAAGCTTCTTCAGCCTGGGCTCAGGGGAAAACACTGAAGCACATATTCTTTCGCTCCATTTTCCTTACAACCAATCTAACGTTTCTTCAGCCTGGGTTCAGGTGAGGAAGTTGACGTTTCCGTTCTTCTTCATAAACACCAGATTGAACAGTTTTCTTCAGGGGAAAATCTTGGGGTGCAAATTTTTCCCACTCCATTTTTGCACAGGAAAACGGAACGGAACGCTTTTTACTTTTTCTCTCGGACGAGGCTAGCAAGATGACTTTTCCCGAGCGGTTTTGTTAAAGATAGACTCGAGGAAACACTTTAGGCTGGAGAACGCAGTTTTGCCGTTGGTTTAAAAAATGGACCGGGAAAGTTTTTGTCAATCAATTCCCTGGAAGCCCAGGTGGGAAATACAAGTTTTTCCGAGCGTTTGTTTATAAAAGTGCACCGGGGGAAGTCTTTTTTGCAGCGATTTTTCCAAGGCCCAGGCAGACAAAATAACAAACTTTTCCCGAGCGTCTTTTCAATCCGCGTGGAGAAATTTTCTGTTTTCATATTTTTTTGGGGCGAACATCATTAAGAACAGCGGTTTGTGTCAAAGTACCGTGAGGTCATTGGCACTGGCGCGCGAATGCGCATATCAAAATCTTGTTTTTCAAGATTTGAATCCAAAAACAGAGTTGAACGATGGCTTTTCCCGCGCGGTTCTTTCCTAAAAAGTCGCACGGAACAAGTCGTTTTATCGAGAGCGGTCCAGTTCTGAAGCTCCGAAACCAAAGACAAGTTTCCGGGCAGTGTATGCTCCGGAGCCTTGCCAACGGGCAGTTTGGCCCAGCACGAATACTCTTTCCTAGAAACCAAACGTGCTGCAAACAGCCGTCTACTTTAACAGCAGATCGAAGCTAACTTCCGCAGACACCACGGATGTTCTTCGAAGATGCCTTTTGTAAACATTGCAGTATGTATCTACAAAACACAACTTACAAAGCAGCAACTCAGAAGAAGTTCTTGCCGCAGAAAACGGAACTGCCATTTGGTTAGCAAGCACGGTGCTATCTAGTGCTTGGTTTTTCTCAACCGCGATTCCAATAATGCTTTCGAGAAAACGAATGCTCTTTCTTCAAATGGAACTGCAAGAATTGTTGGAGTGAAACATTCGTTTGGATTTGGCGGATCAACGATTCTCCTAATACTATGCAGTAAAAGATCTGGCCTTCGGGGCTAGAACCTTACAAGAGCTTTGAGTGCTCTGCTCGGCGATCTTGCAGGAGGGTTCACTTTAATTGGCTGTAAAACGTTCGATGCACAGCAATGTCTGTGGTTTTTTATTGAGTCGCCTAGTGTCGTATAGGTGGTCATATGACATGGCGCACAAGGCATATCATTGGATTGGCATTCAAGTGGTAGAGGCACCCCTGAAAACCACGCACACCTATTGTAGCAATACAATAAAGCCCGCCGTGACAAGCATTCAACCCCGAAGCTCTGAACAAAGACTCGCACAGCCTGAAATCTAAGTTTGAGTTGCTTTCCGGCGATCGTATCGAATCGATCGGCCAATAAGAGAGCGTCCGCCAGTTGTTCGAGCTGTCGATTTAAGGTTTAGGGTTTGTGGTTTGGGTAGGGTAGTTTGCTACAGTATTGGGTTTTATTAATTCGAGGTTCGGCCTCGTAGAGTTCATGTGTCACTGGCCCAGGCACTTTAGCTTTGGGCTGCCAGTGGCTAAAGTTTCAAGTCATCATCATCATCATTATCATCATCACAGTGCTCATCAGCGTATAACACCGGGAACATGCTCATGGTAGGGAGGGTCACAACAGCATCGGAGTCAGGTTGAAGACTGATTTCTGGTACTCGAGACTCGAGATCCGCAAACTTAAGCAATCAAAACGGCAATGACAGTTCCTGCACGCATAGCAGTAGCACTGGAGGTGACAACACGACAGGAACTGCGATCGCAGTGATGATGACGACGAAGATGATGGTGGTGGTGATGATGATTATGATCATGATCATGAGAGACGGAGAACTACGAGAAGTAGCGTTGGGAAGATCAGCGAGGATGTCAGTTTTATAGTCTTTGTTGAGTTGTCTTGCAAAGCCTGACTCCAAGTCTTCAGACGGTCTCGACTGTGTTTGTGATTGTGTATCCTGTTCCATTCTGCTTTCCTGTACCTCAACTGCCTGCCTAGATGAGCATCGCCGTAGAGGCATGCCACTTGGCCGTGAAAAGTGATGACATTCTGATGTAAGCTTCAAGGCAGGATTTCGGTCCAGGGCCTGGGGCTCTGTGTGGATGTCCAAGCTGCAGGCGGGGAGATGGAGCTTCAGGATTCGGAAGACCCCCGAAGGCTTCACGGGTGGCACTGCAGGTGGGGTGTGAATCGTGAGCCCGCTCCCGCGTGAGACGGCAATGGCCGAGGCTTCGCCAGCACCATGTGCTGTGGGAAGATACAGCAGCTGACTGATCTCGTGACTTGGCAGGCAGTCATACGCCGGCTTGCTTGGTAGTTGCATGGTGGCCTAAGTCATGCTGAGGGCCAGGGATACGGGATCCATTTCGCTGATCGATGCACTGAATCGAACCGGCCTTAGTTCACAGGTTTGCGAGTCTCCTGGAGTGTGCAGCGCAGCAGGGTGTAGTGCAGAAGTAGTGCAGAAGTGTGCATTTTGTCGTGTTGATTGTGCTTGCACCCTCACCCCTCACCCCTTACCCCTCACCATCACCTCACTGCTACCCTCGCTCTCATCCTCCGCCTCATTCTCGCCCTCAGTCTCGCCCTCAGTCTCAGACTCTGCCCCTTAGTCTCACTCGCGTCGCCCTCACTCTGCCCCTCCCTCCAATTCTCACTCTCATCCTCATCCTCGCTCCGAGCCCTCTCATTGTCACTCACTTTCACCCGTACTGTGGCTTCACCCCGTCACTACCATAAATGCAGCGCAAGCCGCGAACATCTGAGGGGCTTCAGGCGCCCGGTGATCTGTCAGGCCGGAACTCACGTTGGTGTTTTGTCACAGATGTGCAAGCCTTGGTCAGGACGGTCCCATGAACGAGAACGACACTCATGGCGAGGAGCACCATAGATGTAATCGTACAGCGATGCAGTCGCAGTGCAACGCATCCATCGACAGCCTCGTCCGCATGCTCCCGTCAATGCAAGTGTCTGGGTCCAACATGTCCAACGACACCGAAGTGGCCAGCATCAACAAGAACATCTCGTCGTGGAACCTCTCCGCCAGTGAGATGGAGTCGATTTGCATGGCCCGGTTCTGAGACGCTGAGATGACGCGAGAAGGGATGGAAGGTCCCGGGTCCGTCAGTTGCCACGAACTGAGGCTGCCTGGGATGTGGAGACGTGTTTCTTGTCTGGCACGGATCACTGGCGGATTGAAGCCATGACGTGACATTCCATGGACGAGCCCACGCCACCCAGGCTTATTCAACCAGACCTGTTGCCACGAAGCGGAGCGTATCCTTCCTGCTACTGGTCTTCAACATTCTTCAACTGGTTCCTATCTGATGCCAGCTGCCCGCTGCCCGCTGCCGTTGCTGTGTGGTTCTCAGGCGCAGCTCCTCGAGCTCGACCCCCGCGAGATCTGTGAGACAGCAGGACGGAACTACACGCCGGTCTGTGATCAGGCAGGGCGCTAAGGGGCTCTGCAAACGACCGCTGCATGTGGAATGTCGCCTCCTGGCATTCAACCTGTCCACAGCCAACACGATTGTGGTTTGTTGCGAACTCACCGGCATTTCCTGCCAAAAGTCTCATCCCCAAATCTCAACCTGACAGGGTCATCACGACGACCACGACCAGGAGGAACGAGGGGACATCTCACTTCGGTTCCTCCCTTGCCCAGCTTCAACATCATGCCTTGAAGGACCGATGCAGTCGGTGTGCTCGTTGGCCGCATTTCGATATCTTTCGATGTTGCCTGTGCCTGTTGGGCTTGCGGCTGCCTGCACGGAAACGAATGCTGAGAACCCACCACTGCACGACCTCGAGCATATGATCAGCATGATGAACTTGTCGACGGCATCGGCTGACGAACTGGAACTTGCTTGCATGGTGCCTGGCTCAGTCTGTCAGAGACATGGAAATCTGCTAGGACAGGCAGAGTTTGGGTGCCCGCAGAATTGAGCCCTTGAGCCATTGAGCTGAGATGAGCATCACTGTGGAGACCTGCCGCTCGCCTTTCCTGGGTGACTCGCAAAATCGCATGGAGGGACGAAAGCTCTCGGCTCGAAGTACTCAGGCTTCGCGTACTCCCACTGTTGCGATCAGCTCGAAGACCTCCATTTGGAGCCTCGGCTTTGATCTCGGTCTACGCGAATCTCGTTCACTGCTAACCTTATGTGTTGCGAAGTCAGCATTGACATACATAGCCCTGTCTATGTACTGTCGAGATTTTCGGGTTACAGAAAGATCCTTTACAGCTTCATCTGCATTTTCTCTCTGGCGACATGATTTTGCTAGCATCCCCGTTCAAACCTCTTGTACGCGAGTTACTCATAGACAATTGTCGCAATGCCGACCTTGTGACCAGAATGCTGGCAATGAGCCAGCTTGTGCCAGCCCTCCGGCGACGGCAACAAGACAGACTTCGCTTCTATCTGCAGCGGCGTTGGCTTGTGGCGGCCGCCCATTTGCGAGGCCAGTCCATGTTAGGAGGCCTGCCGAAGCTGTGCAGGGCACAGTATGCAAAGTCGGCCCATCATCAAATACACGGGGGGTTTGACATGAAAGCGATCGGGTGCTAATCGCCTAGAGCGAACTCCTCACCTGCTCTCAAAAGGTTGATCTCAGGTCCCTCGGAGCCGGGTCGATGCGAAACGAGATTTTTAGATGCCACTAGAACGCATCTCCCACGGCGTTCCACACAGGCCGTCCATCCACCTCCTCACGAACACGATGAGCACGACGACGGAGACGGGAGGGACCAGGACACAGCGGCTGGATGTTGCAGTCATGCCATCCGGTTGAAAGCTCAAGCTCAATGGGAGCTCCTCTACAAATATTCATTCCAGAAACCCCGCACAGATGACGCCGACTCGGTAGCGTCCTGTCAGGCCAGGTGGCATGCTCCCTTCGTTGGACTCCTGATACATTTCCTTTGCATATGGCCCTGCCCGTGAGGACATGTGCAACCACACTGGCATGCAGGCCTGGCATGACTTGGCCATAATTGGCGCTGGCTGCTGCTGCTGCTGCTCCTGCTGCTGGTGATTGTCACTACTGGATCGGATTAATGCTGTAGATGAGGATGTCAGCGGCATCGCCGACAACGTTAATGGTGATGGTGGGGATGGTGCATGTAAAAGCCACTCGCAGTCTACTGGTTTCGCGTTTTGAAACGAATGTCTTCAATTGACTACTGCCGATGTCCGTCAGAGCTTGCGGCGCCGCAGGGGCCATCTTCTGTCGCTTCTGGTGCTCCTGTTTCCACTCGACTTCCGGTTTCACCCGCGTTCATCGCTACCTGTGCTATCAGCTTGGTCCTTAACATCATGACAGTTTCTTGCGAATGTTACCGGAACGACTGGCACTATCGCGAGGCTTGTAACGCCAGCATCCAGATGCTGAGCCAGCTCGTTATGAACAGCACGCAGATACTGGGTCTTGTTTCAGAGGCAGAAATCCTGGTCATGCTCAGAGGCGAAGGAGCAACTACGACAAATAGCTGTCACTAGCTGCGACCACCACTGTCAAAGCGAGTAGACACTGTTTGCTGACAAGCACAGTCCCGCAGCCCAGCCGATTGCTAAAGCGAGAGTACGTGAATAAGTGTAAGGATCACCATCGCACTTCACCTCGGACAGCCAAGGAACGGAACCCACAATATGAGCGAGGATGACGCAGCGAGGGTCTGCGCAGTTGCTTGACAAATTTACGACATCCGTGGCTTAGGATTTTTTGTGTGTGTTTTGGTCTGGAGGTGTAGGGCAAGCATCCTATACCAACACCCCCACCAGCCTTGCCAGCCCAGATGGCCAGTACAGTTGAGATGTGAATCTTGGTGGCATGAGAGGCCAAACAGGCTGGTACAAGCATGTGATGATTTTCGGGTCCAGTGCATGATGGATGCTTGTGCTGACGTCGTTGACTGATTTGGAGTGTGTCGCACCAGCAAGGTATCCATAACATGAGCTGCTGCAGGGACGCAGAATATTACTTGCCGGCTCCTTGAACGCACGAAGCGAAGTTGGCGATGTTGCAGAGTGGCCTTGATTCGGTGAAGACTTGATGCCAATGCCCAAACTGTTCAAACATTTGACTCCGTTACGCATGTTTTGCAACGGTGTACGTCCGAATCTACTTCAGAACAAAGGAGCCGTGCTTAAAGTGTGTTGGAATCTAAGAAATCGCTGATTGACATGGATGTTGAGCACACTTGCCACCTTGGTGGCATGAATGCCACGCACTACTGCTCGAAGGCGGGGAGAAGCATCCATTCCATGCACGGGTTGTTGTGTGACGCGCCCCTGCGCAGGGTGACGACGATCACGAGCACTCGCACTGCGACAGACCCGCCTTCGACACCTGCGGAGCCGCGGTGGACGAGCTCGCCGACCTCGTCAACCGTAGTCGGTTGATTCCACACGTACACAAGCCGAACACCACCCACAACACCAGCGGAACAGAGCATCACATGCACAACATGACGGGGCCAATGATGAACATGACTGTCCTGCACAACATGTCCATCGACGAGCTGGGCGAGATATGCTTGGTCCGGCACCCAGGCCTGCAGATGAGCAGGCTCTCGCAGAGACAAGCGTGTAGCACGAGAGAGAGAGGGTTGCTTTGGCGCCAAGTTTTGTTGTGCATGACCATAGCTCAGATGGGTATCGGCATCGAGTCATGCTGCCTGCCTGCACGCCAAGCGAGAGCCTGATCATGTGCAGTTGGGACTTGATCCGTCAAAACAGGCCCTCTCTAGCCTGCAGCGAGTGCTGTCCCTCCATGAGCGGTTGTGCCATCGCCTTCCGGTCAACTTCCCAGCACCAAGTCGTCGTCATCCCGAGGCCTTCTGAACACTACGTGCTGCGAAGACGCGGAGACAATTCTTCCAGCTCTTTGGATCGTTTTGTTAGAAGTTAGATTCAAGTCGTTCCCGAGTAATCTAGGAAGTGGGCGCAGCGTTGCAAAAGTTCTGCTGCTGAGTAGACTCAGGCCTCGTTGATGGGCGTGGATTTGGGGGTTGTCTGTGAGCATGCCGGCTACAGATATGCCCCAATTTGCCGACGTGGCGAGGCGGACCCGATCCGCCCCAAGGGGTGTCCAAGGGATTGAACGGATGCGCCCAAGCACGCGCTTGCTCTGCCCTGCAAGGATCACATGCACTGTGACCACAGGGCTTTGGATGCTTGCCGTGAAGTCGGGCGCAAGATGGAAGAAGAACTGCATTTCTTGGAGTCCGATCCTGACCGTGTCTGTCATGTGGCTTGGACTATTCAAGCGACCAGCGAAGACGAGCTGGTATGCCGGCACAGTCTAAGTATGCTATCCTGCCACTGAGAATGGAATACGTTGTTGGTAGTGCGATTCTAGCAGAGTGAAGTCCCACATGCTTTCTTTGCTCAGTTGGGCAACGAGTTCACTGATTGCGCCATGGCTTTAACATTCAGGTGCAGTTTACTTTTCAGCAAGGACTCGCCGCAATTGATGAGTGGTTTGTTCCTACTCTGCCTGAAGGCGTCCGAAGGGCAGGATGCTGTGAAGACCAGGAGGCCGACCACCTCGTTCCAGTGCCCCGGCTTTCACGCAGCACGCTGCCATCTTGAACCCTCGAGCCGAGCCGAGCTGCCATCTCTCGGTTACACAGCAGCACGCTCCCAGTTCTGCGAAGCATATGCAAGGAGGACGTGATGACCCGGCTGTTGCCCACCTGCGTGGCGAGAGGATACGTCTATGTTTGCGACGAGCCTCGTCCGGAATGCTCTACAAGTGTGCTTGCGTCAGTGCACTCTATTATTTCTCATGCCCAAAGGACCGTCCCCCAAACGAGGACGGCGCCTAGCGTCCATGGGTGACAATGGCTTTCGAAGGGTGCACTGTTCTGGGGCACAGGGGCGGTCCAGGTAG